GAAGCCGGTCGTAGTCGTACGTTGGGTCCTCCTCGATGGGCCAGTCACAACTTGATATGAGCTCTTCCAGCCTGTTACCGTCATAAACGACTTCCTTCCTTCTCGCGGCACTATGACAGACTTTCTTTTCCAGCCTTCGGCTGAGTCGTATCTTCGCTCGAAGGAGGCGGTGATCGGAGCCACTACAGAAGGATGGAACTACAGAGACATCGAGTAAGCTCCACCTTCGGTTGGTGAGAATGTGGTCGATCTCCGCGTGGGTCGTTCCGTTGGGCGATTCCCATGTCCACCGGCGATGTTCCTTCTTCATAAAGATGGAATTTCCATGGAAAAGTCGTGCGGCGGAGAGAAGCCCAACAAGACGGTTGCCGTTTTCGTTCCGGAGCCCATATCCAAACTTCCCGATCCTATATTCCCTTTCCAATGGCATCCCGATTTTCGCGTTGAAGTCGCCCACAACAAACTTGTAAAAGGACTTCTCGTTGCGGACGACCTCCTCCACATCTTCGTAGAAAGCATCTAGTTCTGATTCGTCAGCTGCTGATGTTGGAGAATAGCAGTTGATGATGCTGATGGTCTTCTGATGTGGAGGTCGTAGTCGTAAGATGCCTAGTCGAGGTGATAGGATCTCGTGCGAATCGACAAGATGGACGATAGATGGGTGGACGACAAAGCCGACGCCTCCCACGTTTCGTGATGGAACCTTTTCACCACGAATGATGAGGGTCCCATCACTCATCTGTCGCACGTCCTTCTTCCTGGACTTCGTTTCCTGCAGAGCAATGATGTGGTAGTTGATGTGCTCTGCAGCGTCGAGAAGAGCGTGGAGGTCGGCGTTTGTGGAGACTGTCCTGGCGTTGTAAGTGCAGAGCATGAGGCAGTCTCCATGGCGTGTCGTCCGGGCAGACGTGTCGTTTTTGTCCAATCCGAAAGGCGCCCTGAGTACCCTGACATCGTTCTTGCTACCACCCGGCGCCGTAGGCGGGATCCGATGTACAGGGTTTTTTCTAAATCTTCTTGCTGTCTGAGTAATAAAATTTGTTCCCCTACAAGAGGTGGCTTACTAGGCCTACTCTTGATTTCCACGGGGTGATCGCTGACCCCGGGCTTGGAGCGGGGAGGGACCGCCTAGCGACCAGAAGAAACCAGACGGCGGAGAATCTGGCGCGGCCAGTTCTTAGCTAGGCATCCGGCCGAAACCGGAAACGTCGAACTCCTTCACAGCTTGGGAGGCCCTACCAGAGTATACACTCGGCTGTGCATCGCAGTTTGACACCCAGTGTCACCCCCACGCCACGATGAGGCGACCGACCATTGTGGGGGTCATTTACATAAGTTTTCATAAATTTTTGGGCCATAATTTGGGTCCCCCAACGCGCATGCACACGCCAAATTTGGTGTCATACTATTACGTTTTGGCTGAAAACAACGCCTTTGTTTATTTGATGGATAGCATGCCGGTGGCATGCTGGCGGCATTCTTGCGGCTCTTCTCCGCCCCGGACGTCCAAAAACGATATCCCCTTTGCTTTCCGCCCTAAAAACAATATGCAGCTTGATCTGGTGCCAGCTGTGCCGAGCCCTGCTTACTGTTTGTAGCATTACTCACTACCCTTGCAAATACTGTACCATGAATTTGGACTTCAAATACCTGATGGTTCATTATTCTAGAACTGCTCTCACTACATTTTGGCTGTGTATGTGAGAGAGAGGCAATCGGTAGAGTGGTGCAAATTCAGCCTCTTTAGCGTTCTAGAAAAGGATCTGGCACGCGTCAGTTTAGATTTTTTGAAAACGAAATCCCATGATACGCAAAATTATACGAGGTTCTCTTTGAGGTAGAAATCACTAGGAAGACCTTTGTTCAATCAACACAACGATACAAACCAGAAAAAAGCACATTTCGAGGTTCAAAAAAACGAAAAACATAAGTTGAAGCGTTTCATCAAAGGCTGCTGGCAGGGCCCGGCACAGTTCGCTGGAAGCAGGCTGGACTTCGTTTTTGGAGCAAAAAGCAAAGGGGATTTCGTTTTTGACGAGTTAGGGCCAAGCACAAAAAATAAGCGCCACTTAGTCGAGCACAAGCTTTTCGAACAAATTATCACACGGTTGACATGCTCTATCGTGTATGGGGAAAAGTGCGCGCGATTTAAAAGCAAGGCTAAATTGAACAAATTGCTTGTTTACAACGCACACAGAATCATATGACACCAAGATTGAACTGTATACTTAGAAAAGTATTTGCGGAAGGATTATGTAAAAGGATTTGAAAACTTATGTGAAGTAGTACCTTTTCCAAAATTAGATCGTCTCCAGACGGCCACCAGACGATCTGAGATCGTCTGGGGCATATATTTTCGTCACTTCACATAAATTTTGGATCTTTTCAGCATGGACGGATTCTCCGGTCAAAAATCTATCCCTGAGCATGAAGACATTTTCATATCATTGCCTTTCCTTCATTTTTTGCCTTCATTTCCTCTCGCTTCGTTAAAAATCGCGCTCTAATGTCAAAGTCTTGTGCATGCGTAGTATTCAGCTCCAATTTGGATTTTCACTTTTATCTTACGTCTTTTCTTTCAGACTAGTAAATCTTTCTTGTTTTCATCTTCTCTTAAGCAGGTAGGTCAAAGAGGACTTCGTAAAACCTCCGAAAGTCAGGGGAGATTTCGTTTTCAGAAACTTTAGAAACCGACTCGTGCCGGGCCCTGGCTGCTGGTTTATGTCGAAAACCCTCTCAGCCAATATTCAACCGAATCTGTCGCCTACAACAATTTAAAAAATTAGGTAATTCAAAATGCGATTGTTGCCACATAGTTCAAAGAATGTCTTGACAGGCATTCGATTGGAGCGCGATATCTCGATGCTTATGTTGATGCTATTTTTTGGTTCAAAAAAGAGGAAAGACAATGATTTAATTCGCTCCCACTACATAAGTGATTTTAAGCGTTCTAAACGTCCAAATCAAAAATGTCCAGAACTTATGTGAACTTTCTGATACGCTGCGAACGAGCCCAGTTGGTTTGGTGATGCGAAAAAATGTCAAATCTTATACCGAATTTGGCAAAGCTAACAAAACTAGGAGCAAGAAATAACAATGGTAAATCATAGACCTGTCTCTAGCGAAAAGCATAATATGGATTTCTAACAAAAGTATCGTCGCGATTTTGCATACTTGTTGTTTATTACATTCGCAGCGCCCCTGTAACGCGAAATCCCGAAAATCATCACTATGAGATGATACATACATGTCCCTCATTTCTGCAAAGAATCTACTGCTTTCCAGTGACTTCGCAACGAAAATGCCAAAAGCTCGCTCTAGCAGCAGATGTGCTCCCTTTAACAACGCTTAGCCTAGAGAGTAGAGCTAAAACTTCAAGCTTGCCAAGTTTTGTCAAAATAAGGTTTTGCGAAATTTTTCTGTTTTTCACATTGATATTTGTTGAAATTGTATTTCTCAAAAATAGACTATGGTATAGGTATAAGATGAAGAGCCCAAATTGGTGATGGTGGGGAATCACAGCAACAGCCAGAGTTGGCTGAGAAAATTACTGTAAACAACTACGTAATTAATAGTCCACATTAACTTTTTCACTTGAGGCCAGAAGCCTATAAATTCTCAAAGGTCTGATAAGAGTGTGCAAGTTTGGGGGTTGTGGTCATTTTTACTACGATAATCTATTTAGGATTCTCAACTATTTCAGAGCAACAAAATGTGATGTGAGCGCTGAGCGTTTACAATTCAGATGAGACCAGAATGTGCTATTTTCTTCTACAGTGTTTGTAAGAAACACACGTATTTTCTGCCGGGGCTAGTGAAAAAGTTTTTCCTCTATTAAGTTTCCGATCTTTTCTTGATCTTCTACATACTATTCTCAGAAAATCATTCGTTCAATTTTTGGTATGGTTAAATCTTAGCAGAACATAAAATACACACTACCACTTTTCCAAACTTTTCCACCAACGAAACTCAATCACAGTACACCTTGTATCAAAAAACCCGCCTGCCAAAAAAAGGAAAAACAAGATTTCTACCACATATGTAATCCATACGATTTTTCAGATTTTCTATCTCACAGCGCTCCACTTCGTTAATCAAAACTTTTTGGCAAAAGTGGAGAATTCCCTTAAAATTGGGAAATAAGTTTGAATGGATTCATTCTCAACGAACTTGTTGTGATATGCGTAGTTCACGTTTCATGATAGAATTCCCCAAAATGCTACAAACTCTGAGTATAATACAAATCTTACATTTTGAGAAAATTGCTATGCAGTTTATATAATTTGCGGCTAAATCTTCTCTTGATTTGAACTTCTATAAATTTGCAACTTCGAACTAGGATTTGACGAGTTTTCATTTGATCTTCGGATGGAAATGACGATTAATAAAAGTCATAAAAAGAACACGCTTTCCAACAACAGTAATGGCAATTGTCCGAGTTTGATTGTGTGGAGCGCGATTATCAATAACGCATTGATTCAGCATTAAGGCCTATTTTTAAGCTTTCTTTTCACTGGGAACTTTGCTATATAAATTTTGTGAGAGCTTGAATAAAACTAGAATTTTCTGCAAAATACGCTTAAAACGCGGCTGACCGTATCACCTCCACCGACGTTCGAATCAAGTTTTTTTATTTATAAAAGAGCTTGATTCGCGCTTTCTTCAAAGAAAAACCCGCAGAGCATAGAATCTATAGCGTTTATTTCTTGATGCTATGAATTGCCACAGGCTTTTCCGCTAGCTGTCGGCACCAATTTGGGGGCGATGGCGCTGAGGAGGTCCGCCACCTCAAACGATTTGCAACTGACATCTCGCTAGCGCTTCTGCACTTATTAGTGGCTTTTATCAATCTCAAATTTAGAATTTTTAAGCTCAACTTCCTCATTCAAAAATATATACTTAACTTCTGCTGACACTGCGATTCTGCTAGTAGAAAAATTGTTTTCTTCGCAAAATTATTGATGATCTACTGATTGTTTGCAGGCTGCTTAGATTTCGCCATGGGTGGTCTGTTAGACCGCCTCCGTGGTCGTCCACGTCTACAGCCAGCTAGACTGAAAGCAGTTTGGAATATACACATAAAATCACACGACGAATACTTCTTCAAGGTTAATCAATACGTATCAATTGCATACATATCAATAATATTACATAATTTGCTGTAATTTGTGATAACCTAGTGAAAAATACTACTTCAGGTTCTTCTAAAAGTGATGAGTCGTGACGAAGGGATGAATGAAATACTTTCACCAAAGGACCATGCTAATAGCGAAGGAGAAAGAGAATTTGTGCTAAAACTTCTAGCTGAAAGGATTGCTGGATTCTTTTATTCTCTCATGCAGGTAAATTTAATTCATCAACATCCTAGTTTTTTTTCAAAGGTTTTTGATGTGCAAGTATTTTCTAGAATTTTATGATCTTTTCTTCCATACAGATATACCTCACTCACAACTAGTTTTTACAACATTCTTCCATGGTTTATATTTTGATGTAAATTTTTTTGATTGACGAGAATTCACATTCTTGATTACCAATCTTCACTTTCTCATGCGCGCCATTGAATACAGTAGCGTACTGTACCCAGCTCCCAACTTTTTAAATGTTTCAAATACTGTAGGACTTTACTGATTCATTGGGTCATAAGTCAAGACCACAGTGATCTACAGAAAACCATTAGTTTTTTATCCTGCTGGTAGCTGCGTAATTTTTTTTTGTTGCATTGTTGAAGCTCTAGCTCTTCCGTAAAACAAAACAAAACTGTGTAAGTTTTACTCAAAGTTTGCTTTCAAAACTCCCAAAATCTTTTTGTTCACCTCGTCATAATCTCTCAGGTTATGCTAGACTATTCCATAGCCCTTTTGCACAAAATTTTTTTGTTTTCTAGCTGGACCGCCGTTTTTTGAGCTCAAGATCTGAAGTAAAATATTCCAAGCATCTATGGAAAGTATTCCAAAACTCAATCTTATATTTTTTCTTAGTATAGAAACAAAGAGATCTGACTAAATGTCACTGAAGTATGCCATAAGCGGTCATATGAAAGCTCTGTAAGAAAGATATATACATAAGCTGTAAATTTTACTTTTCGAACGAGTAACGAGGTCGTGGTAATTTAAATTTAATTTAAACTCTTGACATTTTCTTTTTGAAGCGCTCTACATTTTGTAGTGTTTTCGAGATGCTTTAATGTCATACTGAAAATTAGAAGATTGCTAATTATGTCGTTAGACCGTATGACTTTTTAAAAAATTGATAACCGTTTATTCTCAGGGTATTCCATGCATTGGAACTGCAATAAGAAATTGTCTTATACCTCCTTTTGTAATTTTGCAAAGGACTTAAAAACACAGACGTAGCAAAGTATGACAAATTCTGCTGCGCAAAGTAAGCATACTCTACGGTGAGTCTGCTCTCAATTTGCTTTTTTATTGAAACATGTGGACACTTTTCTAGACTTTCCTTTCAAAGTTTCGTCTTTCTTGACCTAAGCATTCTTCATACTTTTGTGTGCTTTGTGATGTCGTAGAGGCTGGTGTCCTGTGCGCGTCATTATTAACACTGAAATTGAATGCTTATAATTTATTAGGTTGGAAATCAAATTTTGCAACTTCCTTCATAACATTACTCACTTTGGGTGCTGCGCACTCAAACTTTGGCAGTGTGGAACCTTAATGGGTTCTACAACTGTGCACAAACTATACGAATTTTGAACACGAATTAGAAAGATTCGGGCTATTTCCCGAAAACTAGTTATTTCGGGAATTTTTTGGAAAAGCCAAAATGAAGCCGCTAGCAATCCAGACCATGCGCAATGATCCGAAGTCGTGTGTGCTTTATTGATAAAGTTTGATTTATTTAACTCAAGAAAGAAGATATGAAATTTGAAGACAACTGGAGATTTGATGCCCTCACAAAGTTGAATGTGTCGCTATACACAAGGCTGGTGAGGACGACCGTCAATGACTGAGGAGTCGGAACCATAAAGATCGCCGAGATTTTGCATATTGGGGTAATCTGACCTGATAAACACGAATATCATAGTCATTTGTGGACTTGAAGCACTTTTCTTGACTAGGACCTGACCTCTGAGACCTCAAATCGTAAACCTACAATATTCGTACAGAAACTCCTTGCCATGCAATTTCAGTATCGTCTTCGTAATCAGCATGTCGACTAACCTCCCTATGCCAAGTTTCAACCAAATCTATAAGGTTTTTCATTCTCCCCTTTGTACCGTATACCCACCGTAACCCTTCATTGCGACGTCAGATTCTGGCAGAACAGCATCTGCGGTTCTAGCTTACCTCTAATCTACATAATGACGAAATTTGAATGTGCCATGTTGGGAAAGAAGAAAGTTATTGAGACAGTTGCAAAACCTATTTTCCAACCTAAAAAATTTTCTTTTCACTTAGCGTATTCTAGATTCTCTTCTATTCTTATACAAATTGCCTATAATGGATACTCCAGACAAAAAAGTCGTAATCATACGTATTCAACTGGAAGCTTGCATTGAAAGTAAATGAAAGACACACATACAGTGTGCATAATAGGATCAGGCCAGAACGAACATGATGCACGTTACCTCATAACGCACCTGGGCCGGCAGTACTTTCATGCCGGGACCTGGTCCTGCCTTGATGCCGACTGTTCTACATTCATCAGTGCCAAAATCTCTGCGAAACGTGTCGTTAGAATTAGTATTCTGAGGCCAGCATGCATGCATGTACATTTTCGCTGGAAAGGGGAGCAGATGAGAAGAAAGAAAAGTACAGATGTTTTTAGGCATCCATATTCTTCTCTTACAAGGGAAGGATACTTGGTCGAAGTGGCGTCCTCAAACGAAATGTAAACTATCCTATAGGGCATGCAACGCTGGTTCCAAATCTGCTTTCATTATCTGCAAAGCGCTTCTGCGAGGGGAGTTATGAGAATGCAAAAACTCAAAAGCGCGCTACAATAAAATCATTCAAGGTTTGGTCCGTAAGCTCAAATGGGGGCAATGCTCACTACCGGAGCATTTTATGCAATAATTACCTTCAATATGAGCTCAAGTCAGTCATTACTTTTTTAAGCGCCGGAAAGATATCAACACCTGTTTTTACCTCAGCCAAATCATTGAATTTTCAACTTAAAAAGTTACAGAACTGCCCTCACAGAAGCGCTTTGCAGATAAGGAAAGCAGATTTGGAATCAGCGTTTCCTGCTCTATAAGATAGTATACATTTCATGTAGAGACGCCACTTCGACCAAGTATCTCTCCCTTGTTAGATATTGCCTATCAAACTCATTAAGGTTCCCGTACCCTGATACTTGAGCATAATGAATGACATGACTTTGCCGTATGTTTGACATGACTTTGCCAAATGGGACAAAGTCTTTATTTTCCCATAAACACAATGAAAGCGTTGTAAAGTTGTTGTATCCTTGTATCCATAGTATCCAATACGGCACTGCTAAGCATGTTTATTATGTAAACTTGAACAAACTTGTAAACTTGTTTCAGTAGCCTTAGAAAATTACTGCACAGCCAGATGGCCTTGTACAGGTCTCACATGAAGAGTGCGATGTGTTCTGATATCTTTCATGATTCCATCGTCCAATAAATTCTCTTAATTGAGAGAACTATAATTATTCTCTGAGTGTCTCATTACTTTCCAGTCATCCTAACATTATGATAGGTTGGGAAATAATTTTGTTTTGGCTTGCAAATCTTCATAAAAACTTTTCTTGTTGCTTTTATTCATTTTGCAATACTATTAAAGCTACTACTGTTGACCAACTACTCTTTTAACTCAACTAACTTTTTATTATCCGTGAGGACAGCATGGCCGCAACATGGCTAAATTTCCCAAAAGTCAGTTCTCTAGATTCTTGAGCTTCGTTTTTGGGTGATAGGTTCAGAGATGACTTTGTTACGTGGACACACGTAAGGCCTAAGGCGTACCTCACGCGATTCGGCCAAATCGCCACTTTCACGCGACTTGGCGATTTGCCAGATTTCTATAAATTCATCGTGCGCGCTTCCCGGACGCATATTTGGGTAGCTTGTATAAGTTGTTGCAAACGGAGCAAGTTCTGACCAGAGACAGCGCATTAACGACGAATAACGAAGAGTCGCTGTTGTGGCGAATTAAGCAGCGACAGGAATCGCGCGAGGTACTCAGACAGCGGATAGGACCCCTCCGCCGGAGAAATGGCAGGGCCGCGGGGTTTCCCCAGCGGTGAGTCTGCCACTCGTCCGCCGGAGCCCTCCCATTTCTGCTCCGGAGACCTCCCATTTCTGCTCCGGAGACCTCCCATTTTCTGCTCCGGATACCTCCCATTTTCTGCTCCGGAGACCTCCCATTTTTTGCTCTCCGGATACCTCCCATTTTCTGCTCCGGAGACCTCCCATTTTCTGCTCCGGATACCTCCCATTTTCTGCTCCGGAGACCTCCCATTTGCGCTCCGGAGCCCCCCGATTTTGTGCTCCGCGACTGCCGAGGCATCTGCAGTTAGCCCTAATTAAGCTCCAAACCCCAATTTTGTCTCTAAACCCCACCCATTTCAGCCGAATACGACCCCCCCCCCCCGGGTAAGAGTTCAGCGCGACCCTCAACCCCGTTCTTTACCCCCTCCCTCTCACCCCTAGCGTTTGTGGATAGAAGATAGAAGAATGAAGAAACAAGACATTTATTTCAAATTAACTACAAACAATCTCCTGCAAATTGCAAAACAAAACTTAGCGGCTACAAAACGGACAACACCGACAACAGTTGCCGGCAACCTATGGCCGTAACAACAGACACAAGACATAACATAAGACGTAGTAGTAGTATTGCTAATAAGAAGAACTTTATGCAGGCCCTCTCATTTCTGCTCCGGAGACCTCCCATTTTGTGCTCCGGAGACCTCCCATTTGTGCTCCGGACCCCTCCGATTTTTTGCGGCGCGGCTCTTCCAAATCCGGCGGACTCGCGCCGGTCAAATTTCTTCGGCGCGGCTCTGCCAAATCTGGCGTACCTCCGGAGCAGAAATGGCGTACCTTTGCAGCAGGGCCGGAGAAGCGTCCCACTTGCCTGCCAGTGATGTCACCGCGACCTACAAGAAGGGACCGCCCATTTGACCCGCTCTCATTGGCCAACTGGGTCCGGCGCGACTCTGGCAGATTCCGACTGTCCGGCGGAGGGGTCCGGTCGATTGTCTGAGTATGCTTTAGGCCTAAGGCTTGGGCAACTTTGCGCTGTTTACGCAGCGTACGTCGCAAAGTCTGGCCCGAACCACCCTAAGTTTTCTCTACTTTGTATTCTGTGTTTTGATATTGAAAAAACAAAAGTTCCTCACATGTGCGTATGGTAAGAAAACTGTAGTGTCTCATTTCTTTGCGCGTTTTCGTCATTGGAAAACAAGTTTACTCAGACAGTTCTTATACCAAACTCATCAAAGTGCTATTTCCAAAGATACCTTACCGAAAGGAGACTTTTTATACGATCGGGGACTCGCACTCTTTCCAAGTACCTCACATCTATTTCGCACTTCTCGAAACACGCAGTAAATCAGATCCTCCTCTATGGCTGCGACGGGGGGGGGGGGGGGAGAGAGAGAGAGGAAGGGGCTTTTCATAGAAGGCTCCCTGATCATCTTGACCTTTTGGCCGTATGTCGGATGCCAATATTATGTCCAGTTTTGATTGAAATGGAACAAGAATATCTTTATTAACAAAAATGTTATAGATAAATATTCGTGAGGTACAAAAATGAAAGCATTCAATCTTTCTTTGATCTTCACTAAGCAGTTTCGAAGTACTCTTATTCCTTTTTTTGTTCCTGATTATGCTAAAATACGGACAAACAAATTTTGATATCTCAAATTAGGGCTGTTTGCAAAAAGGCTATCTCGCAGTTTTTAGTATGGACTTCCATAGAATTTATTGCTGAAGAGTTGGTTTCGTTTTTCTGCTAAAAATCTCCCTTCCAATTATAGCTAATAATTTTCTGTGATGAGGAAGCTAAAGTGAAGACAAGGAATTGAAATGTGTTCAAGATTCTGAATTATTTCCCACAACTGTATGAGGCCTGAGGCATACTTCCCGCAATTCTGCCGTATCGCTACATTAACGGGACTTGGCGTTTTGCCAGACGTCTACAAGATCAACCGTCCGCGGTCTCAACTGCATAGAAACGTAGCTTCTGTGATTAATTGCAAAACCAAGAAGCTTTTCCCAAGTAAAGCGCGCTTGCGACCAGTTATAAAGAATCGTTGCAGTGTCAGATTGCGCAGCGGTATGTAGGGTATGAGGTATGTCTTAGGCCTGAGATTGAATCAAAAGTGAATTACAGTCAAATGCATTCATAAAAAGAGAGTCTTTTTACAGGGCTCCTCAATTACAGAGTCGCTTACACCAGCAGCCCCCCCCCGCACGGCCGCATCGCCTAAACCCTGCGCCGCGTCTGCGATGCGTGACCCGGGCATTTTGCCAGGCTTCGATCGATGGTGCAGGCGCTGGCATTGTATTTTCTCAACCGTTTCGTCTCTTTTCTTCGTTCTTTCGCTCACTTTGCTCTCAACTAGCCTCAGAATAATTTTGCGAGTCATGTCATGCCGACAATCTGCGTCACGATTCTTCTGTGCACCTAGCTGATGTTTTAGGATTTTGGCTTAGCAGAGACGGGATTTTCTTGTTTATTTTATCTCGCTTCTTCGTTTTTTCGCGTTATGGTCCCTCAGAAAGTTTTATCGTAGTTCTGTGATGAAGAAATATGCCGTCAGCGCAACAGTTTCTTTTTCTAGACCTATGATAATTGTAGGATTCCTTACTCCTGTTCTTCTCGCCATGCATATGTAGGAGCTGTGTGTTTGTCTGCAGTGAGGGACCACAGCACGAAAAAACGAAGAAACGAGATAAAATAAAAGAGAAAATGCCACCTCTGCCAAGCCAAAATCCTAAAACATCAGCTAGGTGCACAAAAGAATTGTGACGCAGATTGTTGGCATGACATGGCATCGAAAAATTATTATGACGCTAGCTAAGGGCAAAGTGAGCGAAAAACGAAGCAAAGAGACGAAACGGCTAAGAAAATACAATGCAGGAGCGGCCATCGACCGAGGCCTGGCAAAATGCCCGGGTCACGCATCGCAGCCGCGGCGCAGGGTTTAAGCGATGCGGCCGTGGGGGGCGGAAGCTGCTGGTGTAAGCGACTCTGTAATGAGGAGGTACACGCAAAGCTAACACATTAAAATGCGAATGTTGAATAGGAAAGAAAACCGGCGAAATGATTTTAGCCGTATACATAAAGTTTTCTATGTGTGATTGATTTTTTTTGGGCGCAGACGGTCTGCATAGCAATTCTGAGAGCCAACAGCAGCATTACTATTACAGTGTTATTTTCCACAGTAAGAGCTTTCTTGTCATATAGCCGTCACATTCCTCTTTCTTAATCGCGCAATACTGCACAGCTGTTCTAGATGCTTACTTTTTTTGGAATGGAGCGAACGGGTCCAAATCTAGTGGTGCAAATTTAATTGGATTGATGTCAAATGGTCAAGATGGGGAGCAGTCTTATGAAAAGTCCTCCCCCCCCCTATCTTTTTTCTACAGTATGCTGGAAGCGAAAGTGCGAGACTTCACACCTAGCCGTTAGTGTTCGCACTTCGCACTTCGGAATTGCCCGTCGTATGAAAAGTCACTCGCTCATACCAGACGTTAGGCAAAAATTGTTTTGCAGCGTATGATTGAGCCGCAAAAACGAAATTATTTTTTGGCCAGTCAAGATAACACAGCTCAAGAGGCCACGATACAATATCTTTACTAAATGTATGCTTAAAACTGTCATTGCAATAATATATTCTGAAATAGCGAGACTCACTGGGTCTGATCGTGGACTTCATGATATCGAACACTTTTACAAGAACAGCAAGATGTTTGAAACAATTTGAATCCTACTTATGGCTTGTATACAAAAGAGCTCAATGTAGCATTGGGTGATCAATCCATTGACAGCCTTAAATTTCTCCTTATAGGACGAAGTGTTGAACAATCCACACGAGCTGAAAAAGCAGTGCTACGCCCTTGGCAGGCAACATTCCGCATATAGCAAGGAGCCTTTCAAAGTGAGTCGTTTCTTCTTTGTGACATCCAGATTTTACATTATTTCGCTTAAACTGATACTATAGTAGAAAATTATTCAAGTGCATCAGCATACACTTTAGAACACTCAATCTTTTGATATGATTAGTTTTAGTACATACTGACTTGTAAGCCTTATGTATAAAAATAGAGACTTTACCTCAAACAAACAATTACAATCTCAGTCAAGCCCGCAAACACTTCAACGTGATTGTTCGGGATATTATATGACCCTCGAAAGGAAGGAGTCAGCTATACCTTACCAGCCAGAACCAAAAACCCGACTTATGCCAGAGAGCGTGTTTATTCCGATCACACAGATAACAAGTAGCGCATAAGCAAGCAAGATATCTCTTAGGCTGGGTTCATACAGATTCCTATGTTCCAGAACTGTTCCCGCACAGTCCCGCACTGTACTGGAACTGTTCCGGAACTCTGCTGCATGCGCTGCAGCCACCCCGCACCCTTTTTGAACGGCGGAAGTTGGAGAATTTTGACGGGTAGGGGAACGAAAGCCGCCAGTTTGAGCCGCCTTTCGCGGCTAACTGGTCCTTTCGCAACGGTGTTGCATGTCGTCCCAGGACCAGCAGTCCACGCAGGCGACCGAAGCTGGCGGCTTTCGTTCCCCTACCCAATTTTGACCGTTTCAACGTTTTTCTTCCAGATTTCTCTCATTCTGAGAACTGTGCGGGAACAGTTCCGGAACAATTATGAATTCAGCCTTATAGTGACGTGCAAGCCCAAGTGGTTTAGAACAGTGTTGAGGCGAGTACACAACAATGTTGTGACAAAATCTACACTAAACCGGTTACTGGATTAAACAAAAGGGAGTGATAATCAGGGCCAAAAGTTGGGTATGGCAGGCCACACCTGGGTGATCGCAGTGAATGGTTAGAGGGGAAAGGAAGGTCATTATCGAGATGTGGTGTTTGCGATAACATGATATTCCTTAATAGATAACTCCATCATGCAAAATACTAGCACACTAACTGAGTGACTTATCACTGCATACATACGGTAAGCATAGTAACGAATCCATATCAAACATAACAAGTATCATTTCTTTGATCAGCTTGTCAAGTAAACCCTATGCATCGGTTGTAGCTAATTTTGACTTTTTCAGATATTGGGCTTTCAAGAAATGGCCTTTTTCGAACACGAGTAACTTTGTTTTGAAGAGGAGTTAGCGAGTTAGCTATCTCTTTTGCACTCAGTACGAAACACTACTGTTTGCAGCATGAGAAATCCCACTTCAAATAACTCCGCAGACCATACTTGAGAGGCTTCAAGAGGGATGATTAGCAACTAGACTAGACTAAATTGGTTTGAGACTAACATAATAACGTTAGAAATGTTCAAAGTTAGGTACAAAGATTTCAGAGATACAGTGTAATATGCTGTGAATCGCTGTAATCATAACATACCATATGCCTACCATATGCCACAACTTCCATAAAAATGTCTATTCAAAGACCCTATAGCCGCAAGATAATTTGAATTCTTGATTGATCTGTTTTGCATAGAAGCAAGCGATAATCTTTTACCAGTAATGAACCGACGTAGTTCCACTAATCAGGTAATCCTTGACTGATTCTATTATAGAAGAAATTGCCATGGCCGATACAAATGTGGGGACTATATATATCGTCGAGTCATTTGTAACATAATATGCGTAGTGCACACTGTACATGCTAATTGACGAACTGCGAAAATAAAACCTACTCATTTCCAGTAAATCCTTCTCCTTTCCTTCTTTGTTCTGTTGTAGATTATATGTTAGTCAGTAGAACACATTTCTACTTTCGTTATGCTAGAAAATGTTTTACTGAGAAGTTACTAGTTTGGGCGCCGTTACTAGTAGGGCTTAGTGTGCAGTCTCACATATTAAGTTACAAACGACTCGATTTTATATAAAAACATTCAATGGACAGTGTGTGAAGGAATAGTAAACGATATGCCTACAGTTAAAATCCAAGACTTCCACTTAGATAAAAGAAATTTCAGTTGACTTACTGGGATACTTTTACACTGGCATTGCTTGAAGAATTGGAGTCACGAGGTGGTACACCGCGTGAGGAATTACGCGCTTGGCAAGCGCTTCTTCATATTATCAACGAAAATATGTTGGCTGGTTATCTAGACGCTAGAAGTTCTATGAGGAAAGACTGAGATATTGTATTGAGTGGCTATGGTTTCGTTAAATTCTTGTTGTCGAATTAGTTCCGCTAGCATTGAAGGATGTATGTTGTAATTTTGTTATACGCGAAAGTCTTTCTGAACTTTAATTGATACTCTTAGTCTTTTTTGTTCTATTGCAACATTTTTGTTTGGTAAACCTGCTGTAATTTGTTTAGCAGTGTTCAAATGTTGAGCGTTTTTTGTATGACATTGAAATAAAGATGAAACGTTGAGAGAAGTTTACTACAAGTAGGGCGTTTGGTGGCCCGAAATCTTTATGATATGTGGAGATTTATGAACCTTGGCCATTTGTAATGACACACGTATTACCAGGTGCATCTTGTAAAATGGTTTTGAGACTGCAAAACCAAATTAATCCTTCCTTAATTTTTGCAGAAGCATGGCTAGATTTGTGATATGTGAGATTGTGGCTTTGAGTTTAAACGCACATAGCTTAACCAAGCTTGTGTGATGCCGATCTTCTTCATAAAATGGTTCAGGGAAGAAAACAAAAATATTGGTATCTACGGTTTTGCTCATCCAAAATAGAGAAAATTTTGATAGCAGAAACATTCGAAACTTATATTGGAGTATCGTTCAACACTTATTGTTGAGGAATGGTTCAGCAGTTCTTGAAAGCATATTTTTAATTAGCGTTTTAGGGCGTATCTAATACATTACTTCATAATTGGGGTTGGCCGCACCAAGTATCCTTATTAGCCCAGTATGAAAATATAAGATTGAGCAAAGTTAAGGTTTTTACCTCTTCGGTTTGAAATTAGAGCGATTACTGAGCTATTTGCCAGAACCATTATTTCACAAGCACACTATTGTTACTGTACTGCACAATACAATCACATCATGTTCAACGTTCCTGAGATCCGCAGACATAGCATTGGCATGGGTTTGTTTTTGCCGTCGTTCTTCTAGCTATATCATTTCAAAACACTTGGTCTATAGCAAATAATTCTAAGCTTCCATTCCGTGGTTTCTTCATTATGAAATCTACGCTCGAGCATAAAACTTGCAGCAATGCCTAGGTGAAGCGAGAACGAACTCGCTTGCTTTAACCATGTTTTCAATGGAAAAGACAATTACATTTTAGTTGACTTATAGAGCTTGTGGACGAGAAGGTAAGTGACCCCCCCCCCCAAATGGAAGGGAGAAAGTGAAAGATTTTCAGCTTTGTAGGGCTTTTCGACCTCCTTTTCTGCCAAGGCTTCGGGCAGAGTTCACGCGATTTCATCGCCGCGATTCTTCCAACCAGATAAACAGTTATGAGTCCATCGCATATCAATCATCTTGCATTTCGGCTGTGTTAGTTAATCACGATTGACGTGTTGGAAGACTATCACAACCGAAATGCATGATATTGGCATGCAATAAACTCGCAACTGTTTGTCTTGTTGTGGAAATCGCGGCGATGAAATCTCGCGAACTCTGACCTAGGCTTAACGGTAGTAATAGATGAAATTTCAAAATTATTCGTCCCCCCCCCCCCTTTATTGAACTTACAGGTAGCGCCTACTTGATTGATGAGTATTGATATCTATTTACAATTATTTTGTTTTCACCAAGATGGTTTGCAAGAATGAAAAATTCTTTTTGAATGTAAATCCCCGAACGGTCACGTCAATTCTGCGTAAACAGCACAAAAACTACGAAACATGTTCTCGCGAAATGCAAAAAAAGAGATAAGAAAGAATGCAAACGTATGGTCTTTTCGCAAAGATCATTCATGTGATTAGGTTAGGTGAGAAAGTGATAGTAAGCAAGTACGAGAAATATGAAGGAAATATCAAAGTAAGCATTTTCAATCGCAGTATATCCATGAAGAGAAAAAGTTGCTGAAGTTATCAGGACGTTTTCGCTAACAGATGCCTACAGGGACTATGATTCGCGAAGGTTGGTGAGCTTTTAGCCACTGCTTGCCTTATACTTCAACGAACTTTCTCAGTCTTCTTTCTGTCAAACTTCTGCCATCAAGTATTGTTAAACTACTTGAAGGCGTTCAAATAGTGCGAAAATGTAATGTAGCTGTTGCCTTTGTCACCTGAAACTATTACAATTACGCTGTCATCTTTCTGGGATGCAGCTGTTTCTCTTCAGCAATGAATCTTTGATTCAACAAAAAACAAGCTCTTACGAAACTTTTTGAACGTTTTTTCGGAAACTTCATGTGCAAGTGTTGGCGTTAGCCACGCACTCTCAAAATATTTTTGGGATGCTTCCCAAAATTTTTGTGGGCCCACAACCCCACCATATCAGAAAAAGGGGCGAAAAATTTTTTCCGAAAGACTAATATGAATTTCTAAAAAATTTTAAAAATTATTCTAACTATTTACATGTATAAACAAGATACTCGCACATTTTTATAACCCATATAAGTAACTTTCAAAGATTTCGAAACCCATTTTTAGGGGGGGGGCTCAAACCGCCACTGCTGTACAGGTGGCCTTACTTAACAACAATCCGTCGAATATGATATCTGCTTGAAAATGTTTGAACCAAAGGAGGAGTACTTTTGATAACTTAGGCCTTCCCACTCAAAGGCAGCGTCCAGGCAGATCTGGACCTTTGGGGTTTTACATGGAAAGTACTTTTGGGGCCCTAACTAATGCAATGCTCAAGCGGCAGCGCAAGTAGTGCTCTAACGGCTGAGAGATTCCCCTCGAAACTAGACCCCGCGATCGTATTCGCATTGATTCATGGCATTTTCGCGCCAGGATCCACGCTTTGCGCCATGAATTCATGCGAAATACGATCGCGGGGTCCAGTTTCGAGGGGAATATCTCAGCCGTTCGAGCACTACCTGAGCTGCCGGCAGTGCAGTCCCTTGGTTCGGGCCCCAAAATTACTATCCGCGTGAGATCCCCATTTGTCCAGACTTACCTGGACGCTGCCTTTAAGATACGTATGGAAACGCTCCTTCCGAAACACTGAACTATCTGTGTCCAAAATTTCTCAAGGATCTGATCAAGGTGCTATAAAAACCTTCATTTCTAAGGATGGCAAAATTGCATTATAAGAAGTCGAAACTGCTGCAATAAGTGCCGACTGGTAGTAGCAAGTCGGCTGGTTGCCGAATGTAATATCTCAGGCATGGTTCCTGCCAAATCCGCTTGTACTTTTCTTCTAAGAAGCTACGTTGCCAGTAGAACATTCTCGAAATCGAGAATTGGTCTAGAGAAGGCATAGTTTGTAAATGCCGAATCGCTTCTTAAGCGAAACTATTAGTATGGAACAGAACATTTTTTGTAGGAGGAGAAAATTGAACATGGGAGTGATTGCCATATTTTCGCCATCAGATCATGGGAAGCGATCGCCGCGAGCTTTCATCACCAGTTATCTTCAAAGTTCATGTTCGTTTCGGTTGGAACTATTATAGTTATGCCGTGTCAATGAATGACATCAAGTCAAGAAGGAAATTTGCCATGTTTTAAACACGAAGTTGGCTTGTTAGAGAAAATTCAAAGCACCCGATCCCACCAACTATTGAACTAAAATATCATGCTTTGCAAACTGGACCGCTTACCACTACACCAGGCAAAATCCATTATAGCACATTCGACTTCCGCACTCAAGACAATCTCTGCCACCTTTGGAGGCAAAAGTATTAATTTCTTCGAGTGATTCGTTTCGCAAACTTTAGACGTGTACGTCAATCAGCGCTGCAGGACGTTATTTTCACATCTTGTGTAGAAACTCCGTGTTTGGCAGTAATAGATCGTTTAAAAGAAGTTTCCTTTTTAATACTGCACTAAAAATTTTCTGGGAAAGAAAGGTTTGGTCAAGGCATGCAAGAAATAAGATACAAACAACAATGAGACGTCTTTGTTACCGCTTGAAGTTAAGAACTCACTGTTTTTTGAATAAGTACGACTGCATATGCATTGCAGGGTTTTGGTGGTTGGCTAGGAAGACTAAGTTATAAGAAGTTATAGTGCATGATCTTCCATTCACTTCTCTATTGATTGATACCGTGATTTCACACATAGCTTCCTCTCCTCCTGACCTTTTCGGTATTACTGCATCAATACGGTTTAAACGATGATATGGATTGATAGTCTCTTATAGTTCATTGAAAAACGCTGACTTCAAATCTGTATCCATATTTGCTTAGAGCATATGTGGGCGAAGTTAGAAGGATAAAGGATAATTTGGCGTTTTCAGTACCCACGGGCAAACGCCGAACGCACACTACTTCACAGTCGAAGAGGCAATTGTACGCGGAGCCTTTACAATAACTTGCGGGAGCCAACCAACAACCAAGTCAATGCTAATTCTCCCAGATTACTCTAGTACCAAATTACCCTCTCCAGAAAGTAGAGAGCTTGGTTAGCCCAGGGGAGCAATCGAAACTGCTTTCGATCTGGTCATGTCGGCGCCTCATACCACTACGCCACTCGTCCGTCTCGTGAGCGAGGTCATGAGCCGTTAAAGGTCGCTATATTGCTAAGAAATCGTGCGTGTAAGCGCAATTATGTCTTAGTAGACCACGTTTGGCAATGTTAGGCCAAAACATGCAGGTGGGTTAATATTTTGAAGCCTAAATATGATTTGAAAGTGCGACAATGTGCTCAATTTCGCAACTTTCATGTGCAATTTTTCCGTAATAAAACTGCTCAACTTCCCACAAAGGCGCTAACCAGAAATGAAATACAGATTTAAGATCAGTGTTCATCAGTGTTAAATGCAGCATCGAGCGGTAGGCAGTATGCATGAATTGGCCACTTCGACTTGTGACCATTCCCTTGTGAGAAGAACAAATTATTCTCATTTGGTCTGATATTAGAGTAGGAAGAATTAGTGCTAAGGCCCGTATGCACGCTGCAAAATTGTACTGAGGGCTTACTACGGCACTGCTAAGCATGTTTGCGATAGGAGAAATGGAATCTGAAGATAGTGATGTTTTCGATGATCCCTGGCTCGCGAGTTAGGGATTACCGAAGATTTCGATATCTTGAGATTTCACTTATTCCTACTATGAA